GCCTTGTACAACTGATGACAGAAAAGTAATTTAAAAAAAGACAAAAACAAAAGAAGTTTAGAACTTTGAAATGAAATGTAGGTTTTTTTTTTTAGACAGTACACTTATCTGGTACAGAACTTCTATCTGTTGTTTGTCCTCTTTGTCTATTGTATGAGAAAAGCCATGTTTATAATTCAATTTGGTTTGTGACCAATAAGCCTGTTTATATCAAATCTGTATATCAGTGGTACGCATATTTTTTTTATATATATATTTTTATTTTCTGTTTTTTTAACTCAAAATTCGAAGCATGCATGATTGGCTAAAGGCCCACCGGGGCTCTGTGGTCTGCTGATGGCAGGACTGATCGGCCTACTTGCAGGATGACATCATGAGATTGTCTATGACGGATTATGCACTCTGTAAAGTGTTGCTAATGATGATGAAAATAAATAAAAGATATTTATTTCACATTTCATGGTGCTATATTGATTGCTTGAAATGTAGTACATCTTAGAGTCATGTACTTTTATGTTTTAATATTTTTACAGCTAGAAATTCTAAAAATATATATATTTTTTACCTTGTAGCCATATAGCATGCAAAAGTTTGTGGTCTGTAAGTTGTTATTTTTTTTATTTATGAAAGATGTTCCTGATACCCGCCCAGGTGGCATTTATTTGATCAATATTGTAAAATATAATTATAATTTAAAATAACAATTTTCTCTACTATTACTATTACTCCAGTCTTCAGTGTAATATGATCCTCCAGAAATCATTCTAAAGCTGATTTGGTGCTCAGCTGATTTGCTTTTTTTTTTTTTTATTGTTTTGAATGTTGAAAACAGTTGTGCTGCTTAATATTATATTTTTGTGGAAGCTGTGCTACACGTTTTTCAGGATTCTTTGATGAATAGAACGTTCAAAAGAATAGCATTTGTTTGAAATACAAATGTATGAATGTCTTTACTGTCACTTTTGATCAATTTAATGCATCTTTGCTGAATAAAAAGTATTAATTTCTTTTTTCTTAAAAAACTAAAAAACTTACTGACCCGAAACTTCAGAACGGTAGTGTTTTGTTTTAGCTGTAAGAAGAAAAAAAAAAACCTAGTATATACCTTTTATACAGGTGACTAAACAGTGACGTCTCGTGTTTTTCCACGTGTGACAGTTACATTGTGTCAAACTCTGGGTGTGTGCGCACCGTTCTGGGCTGTCTCTCAAAACCATAGACCCAGTGAACCGTTTATCTAGATGGCTTTGTTGAGCATCATAGGCGTTTTGGTTTGAAACGTGGCAATGTTGTCTATGTAGGCAGTTCACTAGGCTTTGAGACACTGAATCCCGCCCAGGGTTTGACACAAAACATCTTAGTATGCTGTCGTCTAGTTTCAGATGTCCAGTTCGACAGACGCCAGTCATCATGTTGTCTTCTCTTGTAAAAGCTGATCGTCTCGCAGCTCATGTTGGCAAAAAATATGCGCCATTTTATGAATGCATAGCGCGAACCCTGAAGTCTCAAGCAGGCGATGTAGACTTGCACAGCGCAACATCGATCACTGGAAACTACAAAACCATAGATGGTCTACCGGGACCCAGCCTGGCCACAACTGCGTACTGGCTCTTCGTTAAAGGATACGCGGATAAAAGTCATGCAATGCAGGTAAGACACATTTTTTTATTTTTTGCAAAACCAAGTTTTTTTGTGTGTTTTTTTTAAAGTTTGTACACTCAAACTACTGCGTAACAGGAATAATGTTTCTTTGGGAGTGTGTTAAGATGTACACAGTCATTAATACATCAAATTAATGTCCATATAAATATAAATAGCCTGTATATGAAACTATATAAAGCAAAGTGTTGAGACATTGCTAACTACTCGTGCAGGAACTGATTTGTTTAGGAACATTTTTATGATGTTTAACAAGCATTAAAATAGGCTTCTTAGACTCGGGAAATCCTGCCTGATGCTGACAGCTGATATCTCTGGAATGTGAAATCAGTATGGAAAGCCCTTTTAGTATGTATTCCTTAAATCTAACTAATATCTAAATGTATGTTAGTAATTCAAATGTAGTATCTTTTCCAGTTTCACTAGTAGCTATTTGGTATTATTATTTTTAATTATTCCAACAGTCCTTCTAGTACTTATAATTTGTATGGTCTTCTGTCATTTCCGGCTTTCCGTAAATTTTTCTAGTTTTGCTAGTTGTGAGGGAAATTTTATTATATTATTATTATTTGCTTTACTAAACAGCGTTCTTTAAACTTTCTGAATGCTTCATCAGTATGATTGAGGTATTTGGATGTGCTAAAAGACCAACAGGAAATGTATGTGTGTGTGCTAGGGATGTGCATCTCATGACTGAGGCCAATACGATACGCATCTCGATGCATAGCCAACGATACGATACATTAAAGATACATATGAAGCAGCTACCAATGCGATGTGATACGATTCACCCTTGTTACGATGCAGTGCGATCCGATTTCGATTCGATTCAACATAATGCGATTCAATGCAATACGATGCAATGGAAAAAATATGATCACTTTTAATGCCTCAAGGCCTGTTTCATAAAACAAGTTTACCAAATAAGCCAGGCTTATTTCAGTTAGTCTGACTCATTGTCAAATGATTTGGTTCCATAAAGCAAATTTAACATAGATCAACTTCAGTCACTATGGCAACTTATGCTGGGAAACTAAAGCAGGTTAACTAACGGACTAAGCTGAGTTCCTCTAACACTGACCAATAGGAACGCTATTATTTGACTTTTTTTTGTTTTGTTTCTAGCCAAGCAGAAAGGCTCTCTGTGGTTTTATGACAGCTGTACCTTTGCAGAACAGATAGCAGAACATTACAATCAAAAATTGCTCTTTAAAGCATTAAAATCACTGAATTAAAATGAAAATAAAGAAAGAAAATGACTTCTAAACTGCTATAAGAAACACACATTAACTCATTTGAGCTTAGTAATTAGTACTGAACTAGCTTACATTTGATTAACCTATTACAATAGTCCCTTTACAGTTACTGCCATCATAAAAATACACTTATATGAAGGTTTAAAATTTTACAAAAGGCACATTTAATGTCCAACAACAAATATTTTAGCAAAATGTATATTTTACTCAGAATTATTGCGCTCCTATTCGATTGCGTGCCGTCTGTTTAGCGTGCTTGCACGCAGCAGCGCTCGTTCATATATTTGGATATATTTGCATGACTTTCTAACATTTACAGATGAAAAATATACCTGTGACGTCAGTTATGCACTGAGGAAAACACAACGTCTCAAATGCATTAAACAGCACGAATATATTCGCTGTTTGCCATGGTGGATCGATTTGATCCAT